GATGGGCTGTGTTGGGAGGGGGTAGGAGGAGGATAGGGTGTAGGAGGAGGATGGATATCGGCAGTTACTTGGTGTGGAGGGAGCAGGAGTTGTAGGATTTGAAGGTTGATGAGTGTCAGTTTTCATTAAGTAGTATTGAATAGTTTCTTTAATGGAGTTGGTTGGGTAGCTTTGTGAGATAAAGGATTTCTTGTGAGGGGGGGAAGAGAAGACTGGTGTCTCAAGAGTTGGGGCAAAGGAAGGGGGAGGGGAAGAGGGGGTGGAACGTTTGTTCTGTTTGTTGCGGGTAGTGCGGGGAGGGAGAGGAGGTGTTGGGGTTGTAGTGGAGATTGGAGCGTCTGGATTTAGGATGGCAAAAGAATTTGACTGGGGAAGGTAGGAGGTAGAAGAAGGGGAGTTAGATGGAGGGGGGGGGGGTAGGTTTAGGAGAGGGTGTAAGAGCTTGGGAGGTAGGGGAAGTGGTGGAATGAGCAATATTACTGGAGTAGGGATTAAGAGAAAAACCTCGTTGACGTGCTTCCTGTGTGGCTTCACGTAATGTGAGTCCAAGTTTGAATCTGAGTTGCTACCTCAGACTCAATTTTGTAGGTGGGCGGCCCCTATAAAATACATTATGAGGGCCACCACAGTTGGCACATGTGCGTGATTGTGCAGAGCAGTTTGATAGAGTATGGCCAGATTGGGCACATAGTGGGCATCTGGCTGTGGAACAGCAAAGTTTGGCTGGGTGTCCTAAACGCCAACAATTTTGGCACTGACGATGAGGAGGTTGGTATGGTCGGACAGGGAGGGATTCTCCACCTATGTAAACATTAAAGGGAAGGTCATGTCTACGGAAAGTAATTTTGGCGATGTTAGTGGGTTTCTTACGATGACCTCTGGGAGGAATGGAGTAGCATTGTATTGATGTCGCATCATAGGCTGTGAGACAGGCGAGTAAGTCTTCTCCACAATCTGACCAATCTTTGTCATAGATTGGGCAATTTGCTGGGGAGATAGAAACAGTTCCGGTGCAAGTATTAAGGGTTGGATGGGGTTCTGCAAGGATGGGGTTACCATATAGATCAGTTAGTTATGCTAATGCTATAGCTTGGTTTTCGGATGTTACTGTGACGAGACGGGAGCGGTCGGGTCGGCTATGGAAAGAGACTCTGCCTACGTGTTTTGGGAGTCATTGCTGGAAGAGAAGGGTGTTGTCAGAGTAGGGAGCTGTGGGAGGGATCACGAAAAATCTGTCCTATTTGGCTGGGCTAAATAGATTATTTAGGATTGTTGTACAGATAGGGGTAGTAGAAGGGCGGGGGCGTGTCGAAGAGGGAGGGAGGTAGTGTTATGGAGAGGTGGGCAATAAGGCTGTAAGGTATTAATAAGGGAGGATGGGGTAGTTGATGTAGGTTGTGGAGGTAGAGTTGTTGAACATGATGGGAGAGTAGGAATGTCTCTAGAGGGTTGAGTGTTGACTACTGTACTAGTAGGCATTGAGTAGGGGGTAGTTGTTGCAGTGTTCGGAGCCGTGGTCAAAGGATAGCCTGGGGTCAGGGAATCGGGAGGATTTGAATTGTTGGGGCTATTTGATGAAGGGGCAAGCCTCATTGTCCCTAATAGTGGAATTACGTTTTCATTATTGGCCATGGTAAGCCTGGATTATGTTGGGGAGAAAAACAGTCCACCCCTCAGGGCCCCCTTGAGGGGTACGGGCTAGGCCTAAGCAGGGGAATACCGTGCCCATGGCTCCCTCAGGCCGTTCAGGACTGGCACAAAGTTAGACTTTCATCCTTCCAGCACAGCTCTCACACCTTAGGAGGTGGATAGTAGAAGGGATTGGTGAAGTGAAGGAAATGAAAAAGTAGGAAGGGAAAAAAGTTAGTTGAGTCGAGGGCTGAGTCCCAAGGTTGGGGAGTTCCCCATCATCTCTGCCTCCTAAGCCCCCCACGACAACAATGGGCAAGGGATTGGGGGGGTCCTAGCAGTCAAAATTTTATTGAATTAGAAAAAAAAAAAAAAAATTCATCACTTTAATTTCAGTTTAGATGACATAAATAACACTGAACAAATAAATATGGTAGACCTCAAAGGAGGTAAGTTCAACATTTTTTTGACGACTTTTGCTAAGTTTAGAGAATGATATTTGCTGTATTTGAGGGTATGCACATCCAAAAGTGTTCTCAGATCAAGTGCCCAAATGTATTTATCAAAGATTGTTAGTTTTAAACTTTTATCTATAACATTGACATCAACATGGTAATGTTAATGCACCACAGTAAAAGTACATTAATTTAAAGATATTGATAATAATGTTACTGATGAAAATTTAAAATACCAAAAAAACATTCAATAAAGGTAATTGGTCTGAGAACGCCTTAGGACATGCATGCCTTCATTTCCTCCTTACACATTTAAGCAGAAGGAAATGGTGAAATAAAAGACAGGGGAAGCTCATACAAACTTTAATATATTTCAACAATTTTTCAGGCACCTATATCACCTCTTTTTCAGACCTGGAATGTTAATAACTAATGTAGTATTATTAAAACAATAAAAAAAGAAATAAATAAAATCAGGGACTGCAGGATTTTGACAAGAGGTAATCATATCACAAGCTTCTTTTTCATTAATTAAAAAAAACTTTTTCTCTCCAATTGTGTTAGTATGCATAAAAAGCAATACCTATGACACTTTAAGTACAGATATAACCAAAAAACAGATAGACAGAGACAAGACTATGAATTTTGAGAAATTACTAGTTATGGATAACATCCAAATTGATACAAAATCACAAAAAACTGCTTCAGTCGCATTCTACAAACAAATCACTGGGCACTAAACGCATATTCATCCCAAAGAGTATGAAAAGTTCATTACCTATAAAATACATTCAAATATCTTCACAAAACTCTCACATCATATATTTCTTTTCTTTTTTTTGGCAATGGAACTCTCTTCATTTTTATTTTATTCTTCTTCAAATTCCGAGAGTTCTCCTTACATAATTTAACCATAAATAGAAAAATGCATGTGCGACGACGGTCTCTTACGAACAGACTCCACCCCTAGGAAGACTTCAAGCACTGAGGACCATGCGCACAAACTCCTCGTAGTTGACGTTGCCTTGGGAGTCCTCCTGGCCAGCAAGCAGCTGTTCCACTTCCTCGTCTGTTAGCTTCTCACCTGGAAAAGAGAAAGAAAATCATAATGCAGTTTACTGGGATTGCAGAGGATGAAAATGAATGCACTAATACCTTCCTCATATACTAGCCTGTTGCCTGGAATAATATAAAAGAAAATAATGATTCTATTCACTGGCATAAAGATAACTAAGTTGTTGCAAGTGGGGATGCCCTGTATGTACAGACCATGTCCATTGTAAATTTACTTTAATAAGAGTATTTGCATGTAGATGGCTCCAAAAGTCTTCAGTCACCAAGAGGACAATTACTAGTCTTACCAATCTCACTCGCTTACCCTTCTTGAATTTCAGAAATATTAAAAAAAAAAATTGTTACTATTATCAATGTTAATGACAATATCATAATGATAATGTCAATAATAGCAATAACAGTATACATACAGCAAGCATTAGAAAAAAAAATTCCATGTTCATATAAAAGATTCAACAATTCAACAATTTCTGTTTTGCTGGTCAGGGTTAAAAATAAATATTAATACAAAAGCTCTTCAGAAATAAATTCTGGTACTTCAGACATGTTGCAAAACATCTGTTTTAACCCCCTTGATCCAGACGCCATAACCATCACGGCATGAAAAAATTTGGCTTGAGGGGCAGGGGATGTGACCATGCCATCACGGGAAAATGTGGCTGTGGGCCGGGTGATGCAAATTTACTATTGTGAGCTGAAGGCTAAAGGCCGGAGTGATGGGAAAGACTCGTCACAAGTGCACAAACCTTCTGGAGAGTGATTAGACTCATTTGGCATTTAGAAAAGGCTTTTGCATTATTTCCAAACAAGTGTGGAATGTAGTGTCTGTGAGTAATGACAGCAAGAGCACTGGCTCCAGAGAGGACACCATTTCTACACTCAGCCTCCTATTCCTGGCTGTCATGAAAGGCAGTGCAGATTGTATTACAGAAAATTTAATGTTACAAAAAATATAAGTAATTATCCAAAAATATATTACTTATTACTGTTATTCCTGCATTGAGTTATAGACTTTCTAGAAAGCTGATGAGTCTGTGCAAGGATAACAGTCTATTACCATCAGCATAAAGCAAATCAAATGTCAATTATGGACTTAAAAAGGGCAAAATGGCTAAAAAATGTTATGTATAAGAAGAGAAAATAACCTTATAGAAGAGAAGCACAGAGTCTTGTCACCACACATGAGTGTTTGTGTGCACCTGGCTTACAAGCCACAAACCCAGCAGAGTGGCTGCTCATGTTAGCCTAATGCTTGTTTTTTGGGTCATGCGATTGCCATGAAATACCCTGATCCAAGAGGCTAATATTATAAACTCTATGTATTTCAAACATAATATGGAAAATCTATTACTGATAAAGACAAAATATTTGTGCAATATCAAAATAGACACCAAAGTCAAAGTGTATTACCCCACTGCACTGAGATAGCATTAAACACATGCTATGTCCACTATGATATTAGTTTAGTGTGTTTATACATAGATGGTTCCACAAGTTATTTGCTTCCAGCTACTAGTCCTACCTATCTAATCTTTTCCTTGATTTTTGGAAAGGTCCTTCTTTATTTTTTATTGCTACTAGAATTTAAATAACATAAATAAGTCAACAATAATATCAATATCAACAGCACTAGAAAAAAAAATTGGTGCAATACATCATGGATAAAAGTGACAAGGTTAATATCCAACACTAATCCAAATAAACATGAATACATCTGCTTCAACACTCATCCATACATCCCTATTTATATTATAAACTGCTGGCTCCTAAGCTAGATTTCATATATTTCCTTACTTTTGGAAGGACTGTTAAACCAATACCAGTCAAGTTAAACTGAGGTATACTTATATTTTTATCCACTGTGTAATTTTAGGGTAGTCAAACTATGTTAGAAAAGAAAATCAAGGGCTGGTGTTTCATAGGCTATGATAAAAAAAAAAAAAACTAAATACCCTTAATCACTCAGCACAAGAACAAAAAAAGGGGAAATAAGCCTGTAATTATGAAGATATATGTAGTTGACTAATGACATTTAGAATAAGTCTGGTGCATTTTAATAGCAATTTATGATCTACATAATAATAAATCCTACTAATATATTCCAAAGTTGTTAATGGTTGCACAGGGGGGGAGGGGGGGGCTACACTGATCACACTTAACTACTCCAATCCTGCCTCCTCATTCAAACAAAACTGGCAAAGCTTCTTTTAAAATATACATATAAATTTGTCTTAAACTAAAATGAACCAGTCATCTTCATATTCTCATTCATGACAAGTGGCTCAAAAAGGATATAATAAAAACTTAATTTACCCATTCAAACTGTTACAAACATGCAAAGAACTATCCAGAGAATATCTACTTGTTTTTTTATGATAACGCACATTAATTACCCAAAGCACCACTTGTGAATAAGAAACCTATCTACTTATTCATTAATAAGGCAGACCATGTCCTGGAAATTATTGTAGCATATTGCAGAAAGGCAAAATGAATTTCAACAACGAGTAGCATTACTGTCAAGGAACACTTGTCAACCATCATACTGAAAAAGTGACAACAGAACTATTTGTATCATGGGACACATTAGTAGGGACAAAACTCATCAGGTGAGAAACTGCTTAGGAGAATGGTTACGCTAATGACTTTTAAATGCTCAGGAAAAACAGGCATATCAGCAAATGTGATGAAATGCCATGCATATGATCTAGACTAACAGCATACAGTACCAGAATATGACCTACACCCTGATAAAAATAGTTATTATAACATTTTATTCAGTTTCCCTACTGACTTGACAAGAAGTTTGATTTAAAAATTACTTAAATTATATCATAATACCACATATCCATAACTACTTTCTTTCTTTCTTTCTTTCTTTTTTAACCCCAATGTCAGTGGGTTTATGTACTGTCCCCTTTAGATTTTAGTTAGTTTTGTTACGTACAGATGGATCCATGTGTGCTCAGTAGCACACTACAGTCTATCAGTTGGCCCTTGTGACTGATCCTGATTTCCCATTCTTTGAATTGGCAGGAAAATGCGTTTTTCTTTTCCAATACTATTAATATTAACATTGATATCATTCTTATTGATAATATGATTATCAAACTGTTATTGAAATATTAATAACATCTAAGACAATAAAATAATAGAAGTGTAGCTTTAAAAAAATTAAGGGTGGTTAGCCACAAAGGAGTCAATTAGTAGAACTTGAACTTACGTGATTTGAATTAGTGGGAAAAACGTATTTTTTACTAGTGCTATGAATATCGATGGTGTTATTTTTATTATAAACATTATAATCGCTATAATGTTATAAACATTTGTAACAGCAAAATAAGATAATGTAAAATATTTTCGTAAATCAAAGAAAAGGGTGAACGGGCGAGACAGGCGGTACTCGTAACTGGCTCATTGGTGACTTAGTACAAGTGTAGCCATCTATGTGTAAACACAATCAAACAAGTACTCACAGTGGGCATAGCATGTATGTACATGTCATGCCCGTCAGCATTGGGTTAAATTGTTTGACACAGAAAAAACAAACCAAAAAATTCTTCATAAAGAAAGTGATTATGCTAAGAACACTTCCTGGCAATCTCTAAGGAATAAAAATGTAAAGTCATTTCCAGCACTAAGATATGCTGTGAAGGTTCAATAACAAATAAATGAATCAATAGGCACTTTTGTAAATCTGAACTATATCTAATTTTCAGTGACAACATAATTATGTGACCACTATGTATAACAGAAAAAGACATTATAAAATTTTATTCAACTGGATAAATCTTTTACTTGGTACTACACTATCTGGAAGGTATTTGTAAAAAAAAAAAATCCATATTCAAAAATACATTTAAAAACCTTCCTTTCTTCATTAAACACTGACTGCAGTATTTTATATATATACTGGAAACATCACCTACACAAAAAATAATCATATTTTTAATGTTCTGCGTCCATTTTTGATTGTGTATCCAAAATGATGAAAATAGATAAGATAAAATGGTTACCAGGTAAGATGTTAAAGAACAACTAAATATAAACTACCTCAGAACTCCTCAAATATTTCTCCTAAACCCTAACCACTTTCAAACAGGACATACCGAGGTGAGTCATGAGATGGCGGAGCTCGGCAGAGGAGATGTACCCGTTGCCATCCTTGTCAAAGTGACGCAGGCCCTCGATGAAGTCATCTGCGGTGTCAACTGGGCGCTGACGGGAGATGGTCTGCATGATGGGCAGGAACACCTCGAAGCTGATGCGCTCATCTATGGAAAAAAAATGTTCATGGTCACAAAAGAATGTTGTGTGTCACTTTCTTTTCCTTGATTATATGTGCATAGGGTAGAGTACTGGGAGAGAAGATGAGAGAAGGAAGTATGAGAAAGACACAGATAATGAAAGAAAGCAGGTAGACAACACTGATAGACAGCAGGGCAGAGCAAAAGAAAAGAGAACCTAAACAAGAGAAAGACAGAAAAAATGAGAAAAGAACAAGAAAAGGAAACCAGTACGTAATTTTTTAAGACACAAAACAGCAACCACCCACGACAATAAAGTATAAACTCACCTGGTCTGTGCTGGTGGGACAGCTTCTTGACCTCGGACTCGGTGGGGTTCTGGCCCAGGGCTCTCAGGACCTCCCCAATCTGAGACACTTGGATCTTGCCATCACCCTTCTGGTCGAAGATGGAGAAGGCCTCCTGGAACTCTGGAAAGGTAAAGGTAATTGGTAATCTTTCTGGTATTATGTGCACTTAAAAATCTACATTTTGATGTTAAGTATTATCAATGGATAACAATTTTACCTATGTAAACACAGGTTAGTTAGTCAATAATAACAATAATAATTTTTGGATCAATGATTTTTCACTATAACAGTAGTATGGGTAGCTTTAAAGGAGTAGTCTGGCAGAAAAATATAAAAACAAACTCACTTAATAGCCAGTTCACACAATATGGTACGGTCAGTCACTGTCAGCAGGGGCCTTGATTGGGTATTTCTATTTATACATACTTCTGTAAAACTTCACACACACACACACACACACACACACACACACACACACACACACACACACACACACACACACACACACACACACACACACACACACACTCACACACACACACACAAAGATATATCTGGCAAGGATATGTGCATATGTTTTAAATATCCAAACCTTTACAGATGACAGAAAATCCCTGATATTTCAATCACTCTCTCCTAACCAATTTAGGAGTAATGTTTTAACATATAATTGACTTAAACCAAACTTGCTAAACCTGCTCACACTATGTTGTAAAGAAAATAAAATAACATGCAACAGATCTTCATGTATAAAAAAGTTCTTATCTCCTTAGATAGAGAATCATATTGGGCCACTCCCAGACACTTGCACAATGCATGTAATATTTCCTTTGAAATTAAGAAATATATTACAGTCTTTACTGACAATTGAAATCTATACTCAATGTAAAATATCATAGGTTAGAACATAAAAGATAAAAATGTTCCACACAAAGAAAAGAAACAAGGACATACTAATACCAAACAACTAAAGAAGCAGTCACCCCAACTAGTTTGAAAATGACAATGACTGATGCCTCAGTTTAACAAAATAAATAGGTTATCAACCCATTGCCACTGGGGAAGGCATGAACATAAATGCCATGTACATTTTGGTTTTAGTCCATTTACAATAATAACAATAACAGTACGGATATTCATTGCTGTAGAAATAAGACATTCTCAATAACTCAAGGAAAAGGGAAAGCAGGTAAGGTCACACAAACCTACTAATTGACTTCTTGGCAACTTGAACACCTGTGGAGCCATCTACATGTAAACACAATTCACAAAACAAAACTACACAGGAGATTACATGTTCCTAACAGCAATGGGTTCATAGTTTGAAAAAAAATAATAAAATAAAAAAATAAAATAAAAATCGCTCAGTAACCAAATCAATAAACTACAGAAAAAGACCATTGCAAAAATAATTATCATTCAATACAGATAGGGGTTACCTAAAGGAAAGTATACAAGAAAAATCCAAAAAGTCTAAGATATTTATAAAACCTGCAAGCTGTGACTATGCAATGACTGTGCATTAACTCATGCAACTGTCCTGACACAAACACGAATGAAGTGTAACGCCTGTCACTAGAAGTCGGAAAGCTTTATAACATTATTTCATCTCCATAAAAGCCGGATAATTCTCAAACTTTGGACTGAATCTACCTGACTGACAGACATGTACAATAGCTTTGGTCCTCCAACAACAAGTCAACAAATTTTCATCACATATATTCTGCAACATGCAGCTTGCACTGGTTCTATAACCGACAGAAATCCTCCTTGGGATCTATGGTTTTAGCTTCTTAGAATCTACACAATATACAATACAGCTAACAAAGGAGAGAGAGAGAGAGAGAGAGAGAGAGAGAGAGAGAGAGAGAGAGAGAGAGAGAGAGAGAGAGAGAGAGAGAGAGAGAGGAGAGAGAGAGGAGAGAGGAGAGAGGAGAGAGGAGAGAGGAGAGAGGAGAGAGGAGAGAGGAGAGGAGAGGAGAGGAGAGGAGAAGAGAGAGGAGAGGAGAAGAGAGAGGGGAGGAGAAGAGAGGGGAAGAGAGGGGAGGAGAAGAGAGGGGAAGAGAGGGGAGGAGAAGAGAGGGGAAGAGAGGGGTGAAGAAGAGAGGGGTGAAAAAGAGAGGGGACAGGATGGGGGGGGAGGAGGAGAGGAGGAGAGAGGAGGAGAGGAGGGGAGGGAAGGGGAGGAGAATAGGAGGAGAGAGGAGGAGAGAGGAGGACAAGAGGAGAGGAAGAGAGGAGGAGAGAGGAGGACAAGAGGAGAGGAAGAGAGGAGGAGAGAGCAGGGGAGAGGAAGGTGAAGGGAGAAGAGGAGAGGAGAAGAGAGGAGAGGATAGGGGGAGAGAGGCAGTGACAGAAACAAAGAGAGAGAGAAGGGAGAAATATAGCGAGAAAGCCAGAGATAGAGAGACAAAAGAATTGCCTATCAACAATGAAAACCTATAGCTACCCAAGAGAGTTCCCTTTCCTCACATTCTCCTTGGCACGAATTCCTTGTTTTTTTTTTGTTTTTTTTTTCTCTCACATTATCTCATCATTCTTCACTTTCACCAGTCTAACATCTTATTCTTGAACATGTAATAAGTCGTTGCCATGACCACATCACTTCCAGGGCTCAAGCAAAGGCCAATAAATCTCAGTTAGAAGAATGGAGATCAGCACAGGTTATATCTTAAAGAAAATTATATATTCTCATTCTCAATAAGGCAATTGCTGCTCGAAAATTTAAAAAACGGAGTGCAAGACACAGAGTTTGCCTGTAATAAGGAATTAACTATCATAATTATGTCTAATTTTTTTCAACTATCATAATTATGTCTAATTCTTTTCAAAGTCAGTCACAATGTATACAGGGTTAAAATATACACTAGCCAGGGAAACAAGGCATTTAATACAGGTCTGGGTAGTTTGATAATTTAGAATGGAGTTTGTATATTCATCAGTTCGAGATGGGAGCAACTCAAATGTCAAATTTTACCTAGATCTTTACCAAATATATACTTTCATGATATTTTAGACTGGTTCTTTACTTGGTATTAAATCTGTCTCGTAAATCTATAGGCACTCAGTGTGTAGAAATGGTAAATCTTTATAGTATGGACACACTAAGCTGACATAAAGTTACAGCACGAGAAATAATCTTCAGACACGAACAGTAATGCCACAGAGAAAAGAAAAGGATCGTGGAAAGTGCCACGCTTGTACTCGAGTGCTTCAGCTCTATCTCGCCGTGTAAAGACAATGCTTCCCGGGGGTGTCGTGAGGCTGAGCACCCTGTCAACTCTCCCCTTGGGCAGTGCCTGAAGAGCGCACCCAGTCATGGCAATTTACTGTTTAATTAATTTTGTGATGTGGAGTTGAGGACTTAGTCTCTGGCAAGTGCATCTACCTATAAAGAATTACCAGGGATTTGCCAGAGAGCCATAGGTATGGAGGCCATGGTGAGTGCTCGAGTCCCTGAACATTTCTCGAACAAGTGAGAGCGGACTTGCCCTGACTTTCTACAAACGAGTTTTGCTCCATGAATAACTATTTTGTGTTCTTTAGGGTCATTGCCTTAGTCTTATCCCATCTCCATGCAGTCCTTAGACAAACCTTCACTGACATGCATCCTACAGAAAACAAAGACAAGCCTGCAATTGCACACAATCAGTCCACAAACCACTCAACACAGTCCAGCCAAGCCAAAACCTCTCCGCTTCACACTACATGTAAATCTAAAACACCTAACAACAGTTATTCTGACAAGATGGAACAGTCAGATCTCTCTCACACTTTAGAATCAAATAAGAAACGGGTTCGAGCTCTGGCGTGGAGAATATAGGCTCTTTTGGGAAGGTTTGTTTGTTTGTTTGTCCATTTGTTTGTTTGTTCGAGTGTTCGTTCTTTGGTTGTTCGTTTGTTTGTTTGTTTGACAGAGTGCAATATTGCTTTGTGCAGTCTTACTCGTAAAAGTTAACTCTAATATTGACAACCCGGTATTTCCTTGCTTGTCTTGGAGCTTATCTTCTAGCGCAAAAATTCATGATAAAAGAGTAAGCTTCCTGCATAAAATCAACAGGATTTTATATTACGTACGTATTACAAGAGGGAAAGAAGCCTTTTTTCTCTCTCCTAAAGTTTTAAAAATAGTTGAAAAAAATTGAACGAAAAAAAATTCAAAAAAACAAACAAACAAAATTCGAGATTAAAAACCGACCTCGATTTTCCACACAGACTCACGCCCATACTCACACGTATTCCGTAGGCCTATCGCACCGTGACTTATCTTCCTAAACTACGTAACTTTAAGGAGAAAAGGAGAAAAAAGGGACTTAATTTCGAGTGCCAACTTATCGCCCTCCGAAGGCACGGTGCCACACCCTCTGTCACTCACCTATGATCTGATCTTCGCTGAATGCTGCCTGAAAGAGACAAAAAATACGAATTACATCGAGAAGAGAGGTTTGTTTTGTGTTTTCGCTTAGTAATTGTGGGTTATTTATGTGAATTTGAGGGAGAAATCTGGGAGAAAAGAGGGAGAAAAGAGGGAAGTCCGCTCACCATGGCGTCGACGTCGCTTCTGCTTCGGGCGTTCTCTGCCACTGGCCGGGAGGGAACTCGACGAGGGAAGCCCGAACTCTTTTACAAGTTAATTATCTAAGTTTGATTTCTATAGTTTGCTTTTAATTATTGTCGATGATTTTTTTTGAGTGGGTTTTGGGTGAAATTTGAATTGTATGGTATTTTATTTTAGGCGTATAAAG